TTTATGTACCTCTCGAAGTTCTAGGGCTCTCACGAGCATATGATAGGTTGAACTCCAGCGCACTTTCATGTCGAGGATCAATTGCTTCCCCGCAGTAATTCTTACGTTCATTATGTCGGAATTTCCCGCACGTTGAGCGCTGACTTGGAGGTTCTTGAAGATCTCCTTCCGTTTTGCAGAGGAGCGTTCCTAGAGACCCTTAGCACCTGTATAGAAGGAAATCCATCTACAAACCTTCACTGCAATTGCACGGATGAGACCTATCTCATCGCGCAGCACTTCCGCGACGCTGGCGACGTCGGGGATATGGACTTCCGGCTTCTTCGGGTCGAAGTGTGGGGATTTGCTGTACGTAGCTATCAACGCTTGCGCCGCCAGGTTTATAATATGTGCCATGCAACTACATTGGAGAGGTATTAATTTTGAGTCAACGCAACAAAGAGAAGCTCACGATATGTGCCGCTCTTCGGGATCCCAAACAACCCCATCATGCTTGAGCAGTAGAGCGGCAAACTCCTCAGCCGCGGTGCCGTTATTGGATGCACCATCGGTGGTCAAGTAGCCCACCTAGCGACATCAATTAAATTAATCGCCTACGCGGTAAGGCAGTGAAAGAGAAACACACCCGTTTTTGAATCCCCAATCGAGCCACTATCTTATACAGAGCCTGGCCGAGCCTGACGCCGTTGTGTGCGTAGTTGAGTCGGGTAAATCCGAGCAGGGCCTCACGGGATTCCCATACGCCGGGCGATACCTCTTCGATCCAGTGACCAGTGCATGCGAGGTAGCCGTCAGTATTGTCGGCCTGCCATGCATCGTCCGTTAAATGGATTTCTCCAGTGACCGTTGGCCCCTGGCAATATAAGATTCATAAAGAAATGGAGAATGGCTGACTCACATTGAGCTTCGCCTTCAGCTCCTCCATGCGCCGCTTGAAAATGTCCATGATCTCATCACGCGTGGCCTTCCTGCCCGGAATACGCACACCATCCTTCGCGCGCGCGGCGATCTCGATCATATTGTGGAATTTCGGGTGGTCAAGAGCGTCGATGGGCTGGAAATATTAGAGGGATCGCGCTAAGGGAAACTGAAAGACTTACTTGGTTGGTCGACACAAGCCATTCGATGGCTGCTTCCCGGAATAGAGCGTCGGAGTATGGTATAATCTTCTCCTTGACCGGGATTTCTCGGAGACTGGAATCAAGAGTCGTCTGGGTTTTGTCCGCGTCGGCTTCGGCCGCTTTTTTTGCCGCCTTCTTATCGCAGGACAACGCCGAAGTGAAGCTGTGTTTCTTCGCCCATTGGTGGTATTTAGGCTGTGTGTAAATAGTTGCAGTGGTAATCATGATGTTGAAGGCGCAACTCACATAGTGAAAGGACTCCAAGTGACGTCTCAATGTCGACGCCTCTGCAACAATGGTCTTTTTGCCCCTACTTTGTGGTTAAATCCCGAGCGGCGGAACGACTCTAGAACTTACCCCGGGCAGGCCTGGCAGACACGCCTGTTTTGAATTTTTCCGTTGGGAAGCTTCGTGGCGTAGGGTTCCTTGAAAAAATGATTGATATCTTTGCTGGGGTTGATCTTGGGAGCCCTCCCGCCCTCGATTGATGTAACCTCGAGGTCGACAAGAAAACCATCGTGATCAACGGCGGTGGGATTCCCGGATGATTTGCCGGCGGGGACTGGAATAAATTGAGGCGGGGTGAAAAACACACCAGTCCACATACCTTTCTTTGTACTGCGCTTCTTCTTCTCTGGAACGGTGTCAGACAGGACCAGGGTCTCAGGAATGTACACAAACTTTTGGTCTTGGGCGACTCAGTGGTGTCCGAGTCGGAGTCGATTTCAATAGGCATGGCATTTACTGGAACCAGGCTCAGCGAGGATAAAAAATTAAGAAGAAAACACGAACACTGTCTCGAATTGGCGACCGGTCCATAATCAGGGTCTTCATCGTTCTCCTCAAGGGTTACAGAGCCGTCACGAGCTTGGATAAAGTTCAGCTGAGAATCCCGAGCACATACGGAAAGAGAATACGCACTGGTTCTGAGAATCTTACGCAACGGCTGAGTATCCTCCTCGTCCGAGACTGCGTTCGCAGCAGAGCGTTTCGCGTTCGATCCCTTAGCAGGAGAGATTGGCGACGGGTTGGCACTGAAACAAGTTAGTGATATTTGCAAAACAACTGACACGTTACTCACCACAGATACCGCACCTCCTCCAATACCTGGGTGAGCTTGAGGGTTGCCGGAGCCAATGAGATGCCATCCGTCTCCCAGTTAATCTCGCGAAAGTACTCAAGGACCAGATCCATCCCCGAAGGGCCGCGTTGGACATGGGTGAAGCGGCCGGCGGAGTCGCGGACATTGACCCCAAACAGGAGATCCATGCGCCGAACGAAAGTGGACGCTTTACTTCCGGCGTCTTGACCGTGGACCTGGGTGAGAATGCGCCAGATCTCGCCCTGCTCGACGGCTTTGGGAACGGATTTCGGCAGAGCGGGACATAGGATACTGAGTTCCTCAATCAAAGCACGGATGGCGGTGACTGGGAACGCGACGCGATGTTAGAACGCGTGAAAAACACGTCAATACGCCACGAAGATAACTTACTTGACCTCGCGACGGAAGCTTGATGAACAGGGTCCAACGGTTCGTCATTATTGGGGTCGGCAAGCCTGCTCGAGGGCACTGGACCGCGGGCGCTTTGGCGTAACGGAGCGGCCTTCTGCGCACCAGCAGACATAGTGGTGAGGGAAGGAAAAATCTTGACGCGTATGGTCACAGATTGTCTGCGTTTTCTATCCCGGCTTCATTCCGTTTATCCGTTGAGCCGTCGCGTAACTTCGGAAACCGGATATGTCGGGAAGGCAAGAAACACGGGCGTGCAAAGGATAGAAACACGGGCTTCACGCTGGCTTCGCAACATTTATTTTACATTTCTTTATGACTAAAAGCCGGGGCTTTCCGGCTCGGCCTGGGCTTGGAGCAAGGGCAGGCCGGGCCAAAAGCCGGCTCAGGCCCCCATGACGGCTTGGCTTGGCCCGGCTGCGGAAGCCGAAAAGCCGGGGCTTCACGGCCTGAGGCCAAAGCCGGAACATCACTATTTCGGTCCACCACCTTCAGTCACCTCGGTGGTTACTGCTTCGTGCGCTTTGAAACCTCTTCTCAAGCGGGCTACGGATTCCACGAGTCTGCTCTTGTCTTTCCTGACTACCTGAGTCTCCATTTTCAGCACTTCTGGGCGCCGGACTGAATGGGGAGGGAACTTTGCAGGAACTAGTGTTCGACGAAGGAGCAGACGGGTCTGACGAGGTCTGCGAGAATCACAAGGATCCCGAGCTTCTTCCTCGTTACCACCACCACTACCCAAACCGCGGTCCCTTCACACCTCTGCCGACCAGTACTCAGAGTCACTCGACTTCGCCGGTGTCTGCGTCCGCAACCGGACCCTCTCCCCTCCGGTCGAATCTGTCTGCAAAGCTCGTCTGCAAGCTCGTCTGCTTCCCCTCAAGCGCCCACAGTCGCCTCAATCACCCCTTTCGCAACCTCCATACCCCTCGAAGTCAACATTCACCTCGTCTCTGTGGTGCCCACTACTTCCACCTGTACATCGGCGACCTCTGCATCGTCTACTTGCGCTCGCGTTTACCGACCCGAGGTGCGTCGTGGTCTGCTTGTCTTTCTGCTTCATCATCTATTTCTTCTCGCGTCTCTTCGAGGCGGGGTGAGCCTTCGTGAGTCATCGCGTTCCTTGCAGTCCACGCGACGAGGAGCTTTTGTTCTTCCACCAATTTTTTTCCCCGCCGACGCCTTGGCTGAGACGAGCACCTGGGGCGCATTTCAGCGTCCTCCGGCGTGCGCACGATGCAGTATTTGGATCGTGTCCCACCATTTCCACGCTTATCCACGTCGTCAGTTGGCGGGGTGTGGGCGCGCGTCCTGCGCTATATTAATTGCACTATACCCATGTGGGCAGCCCCCTCCTCCCCGTGTCCTCATCTTCCGCCTCAGCAGCCTCAGCGTCACTTTCCCCATTGTGCCTTTCTTCGCTCAATTCACTTCCTTTTATCGTCTCCCCACCTTCCTCCTCTCTTTTACGTTCTCGTACTAACGCCTCCTTCCAGCAACCACCACCGACAATCCTACCAGCCTTCCCCGCTTCCCGACGCGTCTGGCCCGCGGCAATCCTCACCAGATATCGCGCCGCTCACCGCCCCCGCTCAGTCCTCCGCTTCCCAAACTCATACCGCAAAACCACTCCGACTTCCTCGCGTCAACAGCACCCCGACCTAGCAAAAGATGGCGCTGGGGCCGCGAATGGGAGCCGGTACACCGCTACGCCCAATGCCAATCTTCCACATCCACCACCAACGGTGCCTCCCTCGGGCTGCCCCGTCTCGATTCCTTGCCGCCTGCTTCGCGCAGCGCTGGAATGCAAGGAAAGGGGGGGCCGGCGTCTGAGGGGGGTGAGGGGTTGGAATACGACGGACAACAAAAATCTTCTGCACATTTATCGGAATGCCCCTTCGATTCCATCAGGCCTTCCTGCTCTTTATTCCGCCGATCCCCCGATATCCTCCGTGCCCATCATTTCGTACACTGTAGCCATTCATTCATCTCTTTCTTTCCCTACGTATTCTTGCCCTTGTCCTCCTCTCGTCGATGAGACCCATTACTGCTTCGCCTTGATACGCCTCTTTTGTTCACTCAATCCTCGCACCTCGAGCTCTCGTTGATACGGCTGGATACATGATGTATATGACCAGATCCCCGTACGATACTACTCCGTACCTGTACCATACAGCCCAACGACGGACCGCGGGCCTGGGGCAGAGGATATCGGGACTTCAAGGGTGAACCTCAGGCTCAGACCGGAATGATCCTAACCCGAGTTCTGAGAACATTTTTTGTCGTCCTGCACTTGGTAGAAGAGAAACTATGGATGCGTGGGAAGGATTGCCTGCCCCTATAGTGCCTTCGCAATAAACTCTATCAACGGGTGCGTGGCGCAATGGTTTAGCGTGTTTGGCTTCGATGCTTCCGTAAACCACGACCAAAAGGTTGCAGGTTCGAGTCCTGCCGTGCTCAGTTGTGTTTTGCTTCATCCACGCTGTGCGAATCTTCTTGCTCCGATTTTCAACCGAAGTTACTTACACTCTACGGACATCGTTTTGACCCTGACAACTTGCACTGCAATGCTGGCCATCGGGGCCATCCGCCTTCAACTTTCTCCATATTCGCCCCATGTCAATAGACTTTCAACAATCGGGTGAATAGCTTGGTCGTTAACCTCGAGGATCTCCGGACGCAAGAATCAATGCACCGTCCGCCTGTAAGGAACTCTGTTAAATTTGCCGGATGATTGCCCTAGTCGTCAGTACTATAGTTAGTGCCCAACCCATCAGAAAATTACAAGTTATTTACATCTCCCAAACCTTCAGAAGGCCGTGGAGTCTCTTCCCATGTTTGTTTCGCACTTTCGGACCCCTTCCTGCGAGCCACGAACATCCTTGCAGATATGAGTTCTCAATATTCAGCCCACTGTTTACAAACTGCTTGGGTTGACAGTTCAACTTGGCCTAACTTCCGATCCTTGAGACCTTTTCCGCTGTTCCCGTGTCTGGAATCAAGACCTATGACGCACTGAGCTATCCAGAGCCCTGTGAACCATTGTTGCTGTGCCGGGGGCATCTGTGCCAGGTTTCTGCTTGATCGGTGTGGGTCGACTGACACGTGATCACCCATTTGCAGCAGTTGCGCCATGCACCCTTCGGGTAGTCGCACCATGAGGAGTACACGATGCGGTATTTCATTCATTAGTTTGAAATGGTCGCCGCTGGGTCTGGCTCTTTGCCAGTTGCGAGCTGTTCGCAAGTTGGCCATTGGTCCGCATAGGGGTCAACCAGGGTGTCTCAAGTTGGTCTCAAGACTTCTGGGCTACTAGTGTATCCGCGCGACTCACCGCCCGAGTTATCTCCTCGGACGATATAAACGTACTGTAGCACATACAAGGCGTCCAAGGATTGTCCCAAGCCCTGAATCCGCGGTTCTTGAGCACAACACATCAAACGTGGTGTACGGTATGTACCCACACGCGTTAACCCTTCTAAAGCTTTAATGAGCCTTTGAAGGCGAGTCTAACAAGTGTGAGGTGTCTCACCCCTGTCAGCGGCCCGCGGGTCGAAACAGCAAAATTAACGCCTCAATCGTTCAGTACAGCAAAATGAACGCTGTGATCGTTCACTTCCGCAGTCATATAAAAGGAGAGAGATGTATCGCTCAAACTCACTTATTCTCCGCACCACGATGTCCCACATTGCTTCCTCTACCACGAACTCGACCTCGCGCACACAGTCGTGGAAATCCCTTTCTGTCGATGTTGCGACGCTAGTCCAGCTCAGGCCGGCGTCCCACCGCAACAGATTTCGCTCGGCCTCTGCACCTCCCCAGTTTGTCGCACCCGTGGGACGGTTCACTATTACCGCCAACACACCTCGGTGTCCCAAGAAATCCGCACTGAAGCGACCAACGAGCGCGGCGTATTCATGGGATTCCTCCCCTTCAGACTCGACGGACTCCTCTCCTTCCTCCTCCCCAGTCCCGCCTGCTCCATCAGGCCCGGTTCAGGTCGACCTATGGGCCGCATGCTTGCCCCTCACCTCTGATGCCAAAAACAACGAACCACGTATGTCAATCTCCTTGTCTCCGTACTCTTCTGATCAGACTTGCTCCTCGCCCGCAGTGTCCTCCCCACTTCCACGCACAAAATCGTCCCTTCTGAATCGCGTGAGACGTATTCAGATCTTCACTCCCTCTCCTCCTCGCCGTCATCGCAGGGTATCGCGCGAATTTCCGAACCTCCCTCCGCCCCCTGAGTGGGATGAGGTCTCGTTGACCATCGAGTCCGATTCAGACGACGACCAGTTGTCTTCCCCCATAACACGCAAAGTGCGCTTCGTGGTTCCGGCACCACCACCCCCACCACCCTCGCCGGAGCCTTCGCCGGCACTCTCTAGCCGTTGTTGGGACGAGGAGCCTACCTGGTCAGAGTTCATGGTGCGTTTTCCTCGCCACCCTATCTTCCTGCAGGGGTTCATTGTATCGTTTTTAGTAGTGTTAATTCATGGACACTTCGCCTCTTTTCATCACTTGCTTTCCTCCTCGTGGACTCAGTTCTTCGACTCTGTAAATTATTGCACTCTATTTATTTATTCGTATGTAAAACATGTAACAAAGATATTTTGCGCTGGGAAACAAATGTCCATAAATTTATCGCGCTTGGCGACAGGAAAACAATGTGCCAAGCTGCCCTTTTCAACTATTTGCGCATGCTTGGCTGGGAGGAAGACGCGACCAGATCACGTGGAAGAATTTTCTTCTCCTGAACCGACGATCCACCACGACCTCGCTGCACACCGCGCGCATGTGCTCCCAATTGAATATTTTACTGGTGCCCATCTCATCACATTCAAACTACCACAGGCGCCATGCGACGTCGGAAATAGGTCTTGTTCTGGTCATCAGTAAGCACCGTCTGGTTCAACCGGTGCCGTCGGGCGTCCGCCGATAGTCCGCGATGCCAATCGCATGCTCGAAAGAGCTTCCGACTCTCTCGTCAAACTTTCGTCGTGTCTCACTTAGGTGGCCGATAAGCTGGAAACGGTAGCTGGGCGCCCTCTTCGTTGTCAACACAAACGTTTCTGCCGCCCTCGGCAAAACGTATGGATGCCGCGGCCCTGACTTCATAGAATGGTTTCTGTGCGTTATTTCTCCCGAAAAGCTGTACTGTCCTCACGTTGTCGGATTTACTTGCGTTCTCCTGATGTGGAACCCTCAAATAACTCCGAGTCAACTGTTTTGACTACAACCTCGCGGTGCTTGTCGCTTGAACTTGACTGAATTATCGCTGACAACCGACGAGCATGCGCATGCCAAGTATGATGATTTGTTCTCTTCAAACTTCCGAGTCCCGCTGAGGGCCAAGATAGGGAGCAATCTTCGATGTCTTCAATTTTCCGAACAAATATTTCGCAGGTGACTCTGAGTCAGAAGGACTCAGAACTATGTATCTGAAGGACGCGACAACCTTTACGCAACAGTTCAACATTCTGATCATTTTCCATGTGTCTTCAAGCCGACGATCAATGTATCGTAAAGTTGTTCAAAAATTCACTGGTCACTGGCACACTCATTTTGCGCGCAATGGACAGAAAAATGACGAGAGACTCACTGGATGGTCCACGAAGGAGGGACAGGTCGTCTTCCGTGCCTGGCAGAATAAATAATTTGGCGACGGTGTCCCAAAACAGTGGAAGATACCCTTCATCCAAATCTGACTCGAAGTTCCCATCGCCAATTGAACAATTCAACAGCGAACCTGTGCAGGCGTCTAAACCGTGGAACGATAAAACCCAGGTCCGCGTTCTCGGTCCCGCTTGGTCTCCTCCTACTCACGAACCCCCCACACCAGAGATCAGGCGATTAGCTACCATGTCGCGCGCATTCTACCTATCTGGGATGGTGTTCCTCATCCTCGCTGTGATCCTGAGCTTCCTTGCCTCGATCTCCCTCCCGTACCTCACTGCGTTGGACGTTGTACGCGTCAAATTCAATGGCAATAGCCTTTTTCGTACAGGCGCAGCCGAGCTGCGAGAAGTGCGCGTAAGTACACGACTTTCGTCGACACTATTTTCTTCCTACTTACTGTTTCTTTATAGTGGGGTATTTGGTAGGTACCTACAGACCAGCTTCTTACTGCCCCTAATACGTGTACCAGGGGGCCATGCAGGTACGACGGCAACCTCAAACGAACATGTTTCCACACCGGTGAGTAGACTAATATTTATTATACGATGAAATTGTGACCTCGCCAGGACATGGTTATGCCGTCGGGCCTATTACAACAGATGAGGGTGAAGAGGTGACCATCGGTGCCTCCTGGACGCGGGGACTCGCCATCCATCCAGTCGGTTCGTCGCTGTTCCAGGTACTTAGTATACGAAGCACTAAAATATCATTCCAGCCACTGGAGTTGTTGCTATCGCAGCCGGACTGGCCGCCTCTAGGTGGGAACATGGGCCCATTGCCGCATCCTTGACCTCCTTCTTCGCGGCCTTAATCGTGCATAGTCTATATCGTTCACTGCGTCCACAAGCTAACGTGCACCTTACAGCTCCTCATTGCGTTCGCCATCGATCTCGCGTTGCTTGTCTTCGTCCACCATGAAATTGGCAGGTTGGATGACATCCAAGCCAAGGTGCACGCCGGTGCAGGTGTGTGGTTTCCCCATTACTCATACTTCTATAACCTGGCACTCGGTTTTAGCTTTTTGGATGAACTTGGTTGCTCTCATACTCGTCCTCCTTGCTGCCTGCACCGTCTGCTTCGGTCGCCGCAAGGAGAGCGGGAATGACTCGTACCCGATGTTCTCCAAGTCGACCGGCAGCGGCGGTGGATTCCTCTCGCGCTTCCGCAAGAACTGAACTCGCGAGGATGTTGCGTACGCCTCTTGGGGGTCCTATACCCGAACAAAACTATTCCGCCGAACAGTTGTTCAACGCTTGCATATATACCCGGAATAGAATGTGGAATCTTCCATCTACAACTTTGTCTGCCGCAAACCATTTCCGACGCACTTTCACCCATACCTAATCTTCCCTGTTGCTCGACTTCTCCGCGCGACACTGTTGGCCATGTCCAGGGTCCTCTCTGAACCAACGGGCCGCGAATTCTTGTGCCACGTCCCTTGGCCCCCATCGATCTTTCCAGTGATATAGGAGATGGGGAGCTACATTTGACAGTGACGGTCGTCTTCGTTTTGAACGGTCAATACCGCTCACTGTTTGATGCATCGCTTCATTATCGGCCCATTTTAGCACAGACGTCCGGCCGTTACCTTGACGAAGAAAGCGGGACACCAACTTTCTCTCACTCGAAAGTCCAGCCCACCGCTAGGTTGACGGATCTGCTTCCCAAAATGATTCACCTCTAATAACTAAGCTGTGTTGATGGTCTCTGACAATTGACCATCTGCAACTCCCGCCTCGTTTTTGACGCCGAGGAAGAGCATAAGTACCTAGGCGTCCGCC